TTCTCCTAGCATGTAGGTACTTAAAGTATCTTTCAGACAGCTTCAGGCTGTGTGTAGAGGCTCTCAAATACACATGCAGATACTTGATTCCAGTCACTGTGAAAAGGCATGGAGATACTACACATTTCTCATGCATTAACGTAATGGCTGCATATACCCAGGAGGCAGAAAACCAAGGCTCAGTTTCCTCCGCACTGTAGGATGCAGAAACCATTCCCAACAAGTAATACTGTGACAAAGGAACAGCCAGAAAGCGATGCAGAGCAACCAGCCTGTTCCAATGGCAGTAGAAGGTCGAAGCCCATCATGGAACCACAGACAGCTGTGTGAGGAAGCACTATCCTACCATCCATATGCATAAGGTTTCCTACCCAAGCTGCATACAAGCATTATACATACTCCAGGTACAAGGCAGCACCTGTATGTAGGTATCTAGTACAGGTAACTTTCTGCCTGTGTACAGACACCTACGCACAGGCACTTTCCTAGCTCCTCCCTGGAGAAAGGATTGCTCGAGACTGGGCTACCTGCCCATGAAGCCTGTTCCACACAGGCTTCCTCCTGAGAACCATGCAAGGGCAGTCACAAAAAAAAGCAAAGGCTACACGGTAAATTGATGCAGTCTCATCCCAGCACCCTCCTTTCCTGGAGAACATAAGGATGTATGGACATGCCAGGCAATGGACGTGCAGTGAAGACACTGCACCCAGGGAAGGGCCAATGAACTCCTGAGGAAGATGGCATCAGGATGATGCTGCAAAACACTTCCTCTGCCCCTGTGGTGAGGGAGGATCCTGCAGGAGTACTCCCCATCGGCTGTCGTGCCAGACTGCAAGCTGACTGCACTCCTGCACAAGCAGCACCACGACCTTCTGCACAAAACACTGTAAAAACGTGAGTAAAAGTGGCCTACAGAAGATGAAGCTAGGCTGCAGCTTAATTGCAGCTTGTTCCAAGAAGCCTGAAAATAAAGGATGGTTGGTGCTGTCTCACAGGCCACTCAGTCCAGGACAGTTAGCATTCGGTGTAACAAGAAAGCAAAGGAGCTGTATCCAAAAACTGACTGTGTCACTCTGGCATGTAGGTCTGGGCCAGCTCAAGTCGCGCTTCAAACAGCTACGATAATTATAGGGCTCCAAAACACAGCGCTCGTAGGTTCAGCAACACACATTGAAAGAAACGCATTAGGGGAATAAACAGTTTCTGGACAGTCGCAGGGTCGGTCTCCAGGCATCTGGAATCCAGCACCGGGAGAGCGCAGGTCCCTCCCGAGGCAAGGACGCTGTTACCCTTATCTCACGCCACGTTCCCGCTCTCAGGGCCCCACGCCGGCACGACCAGGGCCGCGGCGGCTCCGGGTCGCACCAGGCTTTGCCCC